CTTCCTTTGTATTTTGAGGCTGTTTTCTTTTGCTGTGCAGAAGCTTGTCTCTTATACACATCTAGATGTGTATAAGAGACAGGTCAAAGACCTCGACCCAACACAAGGCATTGCCATCCAACCTGGGAGAACCCCCCGTGTTAATTCCNCTGCTTATTTTTTCTTTTGTTTCTCTTGCCCTAGGATATACATCAGTGAAAAATCCACTACGTGGGATGCCTGTGACTTTACTGCCTGTTTTCTTCCAGGATTTTTATGGTTTCAACGTTTTAAGTCTTCTATCCATTTTGAGTTTATTTTTGTGTATGGTGAAAGTTAGTGGTCTAGTATCATTTTTTTGCATGTATCTGTCCAATTTTCCCAGCACCACTTATTGAAGAGTCTGTCTTTATTCCATTGTATGCTCTTGCTTCCTTTGTCAAATATTAACTGACCATAATGGCATGGGTCTATTTATGGAAACTCTGTTCTGTTCCATTGATCTACGTCTATTGTTGTACCAATACCAGGTCATTTTGATTACAATGGCTTTGTAGTACAGTTTGATGTCCGGCAAAGTGATCCCTCCTACTCTGTTCTTTTTTCTCCAGATGGCTGCAGCTATTTGGGGTCTTTTTTGGTTCCATATAAATTTTCGAAATGTTTGTTCTAGATCTATGAAATATGCTGTTGGTATTTTAATAGGAATTGCATTGAATTTATAAATTGCTTTGGGTAGTATGGACATTTTAATGATATTAATTATTCCATTCCATGAGCATGGTATACTCTTTCACTTGTTTGTATCTTCCTCTATTTCTTTTTTCAGTGTCACATAGTTTTCTGAGTACAGGTCTTTTACATCCTTGGTTAAGTTTATTCCTAGGTATCTTATTTTTTTAGTTGCAATGGTAAATGGCATTGCTTTTTTAGTTTCTCTCTCTGAAAGTTCATTGTTGGTGTATAAGAATGCCATTGTTTTCCAGATGTTGATTTTGTATCCAGCTACCTTGCCAAATTCGTTTATTAAATCTAGAAGTACTTTGATGGAGTCTTTAGGGTTTTCTATGTACAATATCATGTCATCTGCAAATAATGACAGTTTTCCTTCCCCCTTTCCAATTTGGATACCTTTTATGTTTTCTTCCTGTCACCTGTTTTTCCACTCTCCTTTTGAAAATTAAAAATACAGAGAGTCCCTGGCCGGTGTGGCTCAAGTGGCTGGAGCGTCATCCTGTGCACCAGAAAGTGGGGGATTTGATTCCCGGTCAGGGCACATGCCCAGGTTGTGGGTTTGATTCCTGGTTGGGGTGCATGCAGGAAACAACCAATCGATGTTTCTCTCTTACACTGATGTTTCTTTTTCTCTTCCTTTCTCTCTCTCTCGGATCAATAAAAAAACATATCCTCAGGTGAGGGTTGAAAAAAATTTTTTTAAATAGAGAAAAGACAAAAATACAGAATAAAAACCCTATATTCCCATTCATCAGGAGTGACAACCATTGGCCTGGACTAATAATGCCAGGTTTGCCTCATCTTTTTTTGGCAATAAAAGAACAGAACAGGGTAAAGATGAGGTGTCTTTTGATTTCTTGTGACAAGCCTAACCTCCTCCTCTCCCCAGAGGCAAGAGCGTGAGTGTGCTGCATATCCTTCCAGTCCAGTTGCCTTTTCCTACACGCAGATATATTCATGAACAATAAAAATCATTACATTTTACACAAACCTTAATACAATGACGTCTTACAAGTATAAAGTATAACTTATAAACTTTCCTTTTCACTCAACAAGATCTACTAATACTCATTTTATCAATCTATCAACATTGATCCCATGGCTTTATTGCTACCTTGAGTTGCTGAAAACTTAGTATGCACCAGGTCCTGTCCCCAAGTGCTTCACATGTATTATCTTATTTACCCCCTGGACAACCACTGAGAAGAAGTTCCAAATGCATACAGCCGGCACAGGGCAGGAAACGCGCTTTCTCCAGGGACGGCTGAGTCCCAGCCTACGCTAAGCTGCCCTCTGACTACCAATAGCCAACCAAGCACTTTCACTGTGCCAGGTATTTTGTACGTATCGTGTCTCTTATCCCTCTGAACCACAGTATGTCCCTGATCACACAGTACCAGAGTGCCTGGGAACAGAACCGACACTTACGGTCATGGACTTTGTAGCAGTGCTTCTGCAAGCGCTTGACATCCCACTCCTCCAGCACTCCATGCGTCATCAGCAACTGCAGGAACCGCCGGTGGACATCAGTCATGACGCCCATCCTTCTTGTGCTACCCTGCATGGTGAAGGGGCTAAAAGGAAGTCAATGAAATCAAGTTACCTGTGAGCACACCAAAGGCAATGTTCTAAGTTTTATATGATTTTGCATTAACAAATATAAATTTGTTATGGATTTTAAAATAAAGGTCACCATGCTGAACAGTACAAAAATGAACAGGACAAGCCAGGGGCTAGTCAAATGAGTACTGGGCAGTGGCAAGCATTCACAGCCTGCTCCCCCACTTAGGGGGTGAAATGGAGAAACATTACCTCCCTGGGCTTCAGTCTCTGACCTGTAAATTCAGAATAATGATAGAAACGTCCTCCACACAATTACCAGGAGGATTAAATGAGATAATACACATAAAAGCCTGGTAACAGACTGAGCACTAAATAAGTGTTAGCTATTTTCACTATTAGATGATTCTGGGTCTGAAACTTGGCTCAGCCACTTACCAGATCTATGGCCCTGGATAAATTTAGCTGAGGTCCCATTTTCTCACTAAAAAATTAGAATAATGTTCACTGCTTAGAGAACTACTAGTAAACACTTAAATGTCAGTTTCCTTCCCTTCTCTCAAACCACTAATAAAACTGACATTATAGGACTGCAGGGTATTTTTAATATCTCCTGCTGTCTAATAAAACATTACCTTTCCACAAACCACAAAGATCAGAGCTGACAAAGTACTACACAAGCCCTGATCAAAAAGCCTCTCCTGCCAGAATGAACCTCTGTTGCTCTGTGGGGCTAAGAGTGTGAGTTCAGAACTAGACAGGCTCTGAGACCAGTTCTTGCTAGGCCTGCCTGGTCTTATGAATCACCTAACCTGTGTATTAAAAATACACATCCATGTCCTCTTTTCTGGAGGTTCTGAATGCAGAGGGTCCTGGAATTCTGAGGTTTTCACATTCACTTCAGCTTATGCCATGATCTGATAAGAAAGTTGCTGTTACCTAGGCAAATACAGCACAGAAACATTTTTAGCTAACACATTTAATTTCCCTAAGCCTCAGTCTTTTCATCTATAAAATGGGGGTAATATAACTATATTTAAGGCATAAGTTTAAATGAGATATGACTACCACAGGTTTCCCAAGGACCTGGCACATAGGAGATACACAAAAGGACTAGTTACTGTTCTTTTGAACAGCAGCACCAACTGGAGCTCAGAACTGGGAAGATGCACTGTCACAGGATGAGTTTCTCTGACCACCTACCAGATTTCCTTGACACTATTTCACCAGCATCTCAGCCTCAACAAATCCTAAACTGGACTCCTTCTCCAGCATCCTCAACCCTTTTTCTCCTCAGTCCTCTTTGCAAACCACCTGGTTTAGATGGTACAGTCCACGCGAAATGCAAACTCCACAGACCTGAGCGTAAAACGGAAAGGCTCAAACCCCAGTGACATACGACAGTTTTAAATGTTTGTGCAACTTGATAACAGAGACTCAAAATGGTTAAGGCAAAAATGATCAGAACTACAGAGACAAACATACAAATCTAGAATCACAGTAGAAGATTTTAACATATCCCTATCAACAATTAATAAAATGAATTAAAAATCAGTAAGGTTAGAATAATTTGTACAACAAAGCAAAAAGTTTAATCTGATGGACATGCAAAAAACACTGCACTGCTACAGAATACAAAATCTTCAAAGAGCCCAGAATGATCATGTAAATTACCACATACTAGGCCAGGAAGCAAGTCTTAGCAAAAGGTAAAGGAGTGCTCTCACAGAGAACATGTTCTCTGACCACACTACAATAGGCTGGAAACAGAAGCAGAAAGATGGCAGGAAAAAGTCTGCTTAGAATTTAAGAAACAAATTTATAATCCATTAACAAAGAATTATTATTAATGGAAATTAAAAAATAACAAAATATTATATATGAACACTGCTGAGAGGCAATTAAAACAGTTAAGGGAAATTAACAGTATTAAGTGTTCGTATTTTTTAAAAGGGGAAGGCATGAAAGACCTGCATCTAAGGAAGCTATAAAAAGAATAGCAAATTAAATCCGAAGAAAGTAAATGATGAAGAATAGAAATTGATGAAATAAAAAATAAATGCATACCAGAAGAGATCAACAAAACCAAAATTATTCTTTGAAAAACGTAATAAAAGTGACAAACCTCTGACAAGATCTTCCAACAGAGAATTTACAAATAAATCGCATTTGGAATGAAAGGGGAAACTGACTGCAGATTCAAACATTTTTTAAAAATATTATAAGTAACACAGCAATATGTAGTTTTAAATATGTACAAAGTCGTAAAAAAATTCATTCACGCCCGGCCAGGTGTGGCTCAGCGGTTGAGCTTCGACCTAGGATCCAGGAGATTGCAGTTCGATTCCCGGTCAGGGCACATGCCCAGGTTGTGGGGTCGATCCCCAGTTGGAGGCCTTCAGGAGTCAGTCGATCAATGACAACTCTCTCATCAGTGATGTTCCTATCTCTCTCTCCTTCTCCCTTCCTCTCTCTGAAATCAATAAAAATGTATTTTTTAAAAATTCATTCACAAATGACTAAAGAATAATTTGAAAATCTAAAAAGTTTTATAACCACTGAAGACATTTTATGGGAAATCCAACTTCCCACAAATAAAGGTACCAAAGGATTTATCCAGAAGTCCTACAAAAAATTCTAGGAACAAATAATCTCAAGTGTGACACAAAATATCCCAGAGCCAGAAAACAGGCAACCCTTCCCAAACCATCTAATAAGGCTGACAAAAGTTGGGCATTAAAATCTGACAAAGTCTTCAAAAGAAAGGAAAATGAAAAGCTGGCATCTTTCAGAAACATAACTGCTATAGTCCTTCCTAAGCAAAATGTTAACCAACCACATCGAGCCATGGAAAAGGGTGATACATCTTGACCAAGGTGGGTTTACCCTAGCAATGGTTCACATTTAAAAATCAATTAAATGCTATATGTCAGTATCTTAATAAAGCTGGATGGGAAAACCAATTGAGGCATGAGAGATACCCTTGCCCTCTCCTCCTGAAAATTCAAGAAATTAACCAACTATAATCCAATAAAGAATTCCCTACTCAATACAGAGGTAAGCCTGAGAGTCCCATGCACTAAAACATCTAAAGGTGGGCAACTGGGAAAGAGCGGGGAGATAAGAAGGGAGGAAAGCTCAGATGCCCCACAGACACAGCCCTGTAGCCGGGAGCTCTCAGCACGGCCAGGAGAGGGGAGGAAGCCGGTAGTAACAGGTGCTTTCTTCAGCTGGCCAGGAGGAACAGAGAGCTGGAGGGGGAGCCCAGCAGGGTGACTGAAGAGAACAGTGACTGAGCCAGCAGATGCCTGACCCTGGAGGTCAAGTCTGGGAGATCAGAGATGTGAGAAAAAAATCTTGCCATACAGCACCATCTACTGGAAAGTAGTAAAAAGACCTCTTTAGAGAACGTTGCTATAGAAGGGACATTTATGCCTAGACAAAAGAGAGAAGCAAATACCATGAACAACCACTGTAACGAGGATGATCAGAAAGAAAATGAAAATTCCCAGAAAACAAGCTGGAGCACATGGAAATATGTGATATAAGTAACAGATTTCAGGATTGCAGTTCTGAAAATACTCAACAAGATGTGAGAAAATATAGACAGGCAATTCAGTGCACTCAGAAAACAAACCAATGAACAAAACAAGTACTTTAACAAAGAGATTGAAACTTTAAAAAAGAACAAATCAGAAGTCCTGGAAATGAAGCATGCAATTAAGGAGATTAGCAATGAGCTACTGAGCATAGAAAACAGAGCCAGCCAGATGGGGGAAATAATTAGTAATACTGAAGATAGGAATCTGGAATGACACAGAGGGAAGAAGAGAGAGACCTGAGCATAAAGAAAAATGAAGCTCTAAGAGAACTATCTCACGCCATCAGAAAAAGCATATTAGAATAATAGGCATTCCAGAAGAAGAAGAGAGGCAGAAGGGAACAGAGAGACTATTCAAACAAATACTGGGTGAGAACTTCCCAACCCTATGGAAAGAACTAGATCCTCAAATCCAAGAAGCAAACAGAACACCTAGTTACCTCAATCCAAAGAGGCCCTCTCCAAGGCACATTGTATTAAAACTGTCAAAAATTAATGGCACAGAAAAAATTCTCAAAGCAGCCAGGGAAAAGATGTAACCTGCAAAGAAAAACCCATCAGAATTTTATCCAACTTCCCAATAGAAACTCTACAAGCCAGAAGAGACTGGAACCAAATATTCAAACATCTGAAAGAGAAATTACAAGCCACGAATAATATATCCAGCAAAATTATCCTTTAAATATGAAGGAGAAATAAAGACTTTCCCAGACATACAGAAGCTGAAAGATTTTATCACCAGATAACCTCCACTGCAGGAAATACTCAAGGGAGTTATTCTATCTGAAACAAAGAACATAAGGTCACAACACTACCAGTAAGATCACCAAAATACGTATAGCTTAACAGGGGTAATTTGTGACAACAAAAACATAAAAGGGGAGCGGGTAAAGGTCTGAACCAGAAAAGGACCATCAACATCAGATGAACTTGAAAGAAAAAAAACTATTGTATATGTGCAACTTTATTTTTTATAAACCTAATGGTAACCACACTCAAAAATCCCCAAACCAGGACACATAGCTTAAGACAACAGGACACAGAGGAAAGACGTATGAAACACCACCAAACAAAACAACAGGCAGAAGTACAAAGGAAAAGAACCAATGGAGGCACAGAGCTACCAGAAAACAGAAGATAAAATGGCTACAGAAAATCCTCTTGCATCACTAATTACCCTAAATGTAAATAGTCTGAATTCACCAGTAGAGAGGCACAGAGTAGCAGAGTGCATCAAAAAACAAAACCCAACCATACGATGCCTACAAGAGACACATCTAAGCTGCAAAGACAAAAGTAGATTCAAAGTAAAAGGGTGGAAAATGATTCTCCAAGAAAAATAACATCCACTGAAAAGCAGGTGTAACCTTACTTATATCTGATGAAATAGATCTCAAGACAACAAAGATAACAAGAGA